GACGAATGACGAGTGTCTTCTTTCAGCATGGAAGTGCCTGGTGTAGCACTTCTTCGTTAAAATATATAAATGTATTATATAATTGATTTCAGAAATAAATAAACTTAAACTCATATAATACTGTTAAATTTTGCGTAATTTTAACTAATGATTTATAATAATTTGCAAACAAGTTTAAACTCTTAATCATGTTACAATTTTTTACTATCAATCTATGTTTTTAAACATTAAAAATGGATAAGCAGAGTTTATCTTTTCGTTAACTGGTCTTTTATATCTTTTTTAATTTGTTTTTGGTAAAAAAATGTTGAAAAACAATAACTTAAAATAATTCTCCGTTTATTTAGTAAACTTTGTATGCAAGTTGATTATTAAACTAGTTATGTTGAGTACCGAACCATTATTGATAGAGGAAAAAATTTCTTTTACGTCAATAGCAAAATAACGTTTTAAAACAATGAACAGTAGGACGCAGGATTGCCAAAATTAGAAATTTATACATATAACATTTTTTTAACTGGTAAATTCTAAACAAAAGCTAAAACATTCAATATGAATATGTTTAAATAATCAAAAATCAATTATGACGTTATTATGGTTTAATGAAAATTTTTTTGGTCTTTTATGGGTGATTTTGTGATCAATTTATATTGCAAAGTTTTAATACTTTCCCAGACATATATAAGTTGATGCATTGGTGCTTGATACTAGTTTTTGATTGAAGTTTTTTATAAAAATTTTAATGTAGTTATAAAGTTATATAAAAAGATATTACAAAACAATCTTTTGTTTTAATATTGGTGGAGCTGGAAAACTTATATAATTAATAAAATTGATTACAAAGTGGTCTTGCTATTAATTAATTCTACGCATGCTCTAGAAAAAGTTTGTGAAAGATTTAGCAGCAGCTTTCTGCACTTTTATGAAATAGTATATTTTTAGTCAAGCAAGATCTGTAAAATTTCACTTATCTGTTAGCAGTAGCAGATCCAGAATGTTTTGTTGCTTTAGATTTAACTCTTTGGGGGTAGCGCAAAAATTCTATAATTAATTATTCAGGGTAAGCACGGAATCTTTTTAGGGAATTTTTTATCAGGTTCCAATTACAAATACTTTTGCGAATTATTCTCATTTAACAAAAGCAACTCAAAATATGGTTTCAAATAATAGCCGTGGTTTCAAATGATAGCCGTGGTATCTTATCATTGTCAGATAATGGTAGCCAATCTTATCGGTTTTAAAAATCTAGCAGTTATTATGAAGCAACATATTTGATTTTCTTAAAACATATAAAAGCTATTTCAAAACCCCAACAACATTACATTAAATATTTCTGGTTTTTTTACGGGAATTTTACAGGAAAATTTTTCAATTTTCCCGTAAAATCTTTGAGTGAAAAAGCGCAAGAATATTGCAACTAGTGCTGTTATCAACTTCGACTAAATCGACTGAAAGTTGACTTGTTAAAAGTCGAATTTAGTCGACTAAGAAAAAAGAAATAGTCTGTTTAATCGACTAAAGACTTCCTTCTAATCGATTAAACATCGATTTAGTCGAGTGAAAGTTTAAAAATTCTTTTATCTTTTCATTCAATTTAACTTTCCAATATTTTTTTTGATTGTTTGTTCGTTTAAAAAGAAAAGCATGCACTATTATAACAAGAGATGCCACGGATAGTGGTTTTGCCGAATACCACCAAATTTGCCGAAAAAGATGTAAAGTCGAAAATGGGCAATTTTGACTTGATGATGTATTATGAAGTTTACAACACTCTACAAACTAGCAAAATGTCGAATGAAACATCTTCAAAGATGTTTATAAACCTTCAGAAAAACACTTTTATATTTTTAGTATAAAATTTTAATTCCAATTGCAAATAATATTAGTTTTTACAAAAAACCGTTCGCTTAAATTGAACACAAAACCTTTAGAAGCCCTAACAGAACTTGCGAAAAAAATTTAATTATTTGCCGGTGGCAGTGTACAGAGTATACACAGTCGGAGCGGCCGTTCTCTCATTGTTTTGCTCCATTTATTTTTTAATTTTTTTTTAGGTGCCCCAAGAAGTCCTTACGAACTTATCACAGAGCACCGCGGATGAGCATTTAATTGGAAGTTCACGCCTTCTTCCTAATCGATGTCGCAAAACTTGCTCATAGTTGGGGTTTAAACCCCGGGTCTTTTGTTTCTGAGGCAAGTGCGCTATTACTGTGCCACGGCTGCTACCACTGTGCCACGCCTGCTACCACTGTGCCACGGCTGCTACCACTGTGCCACTGTGCTATCACTGTGCCACGACTCCTACCACTGTGCCACGGCTGCTAAATTATGCTCTATTAAGATTTAAATAATTCATTGGTTAAAAAATAGAAAGCAAAAATAAACTTTATTATTTTTATGACAATTTATTTTCGAAAAAATAATTTAAATTTCATATTTCGACTAATTCGACTTTTAATCGACTTAGTCGATTTTAAAAATATATTAGTCGATTTAATCGACAGTCGAATTATTTAATAGTCGTAACAGTCGTAACGTAACAACACTAATTGCAACAAATTTACCAAAAAAAAAATTAGTTACATCATGCTCGCAAGGCCTCAAGAGAAAACAATGTATTTGATGTACTCACACGTCCTATGAACTCATTAGATCAAATTATAAGTTTTAACTATAAGATTCCGAAAATGACCTCCCTAAAGTTTTTTGAGTTCATTTAGCTATTTTATATATTTTAGCTATAAGTATTTTTTGATAGTTTTAAACTTTAGATTAGGGGTGTGGAGTCGTAAAAAAAAAAGTAACGACTCCAACTCCGACTCCAGTTGTTTAAATTTTTTGAGTACAACTCCAACTCCGACTCCGACTACAACTCCAAAGCAAAATTTTTGAAAAATTCTTTGAATTCTTAAAAAAATATTACGCGATAAATTAATTTTTTTTTTTTACAAGTTTATGAAACGTTCTTTGAGATTTATTTATGAACATAAGGTTAATTGAATGTTTTGTACATGCACTTAAAATACAGAGAAGTTTTACTATTGGAGTCGGAGTCGTGATTTTGTTTAGCAACTCCGACTCCGCTAAAAATGTCGCAACTCCGCAATTCCGACTCCGACTCGACAACCCTGCTTTAGATTAAGTTATGATTGATTATTGCTAATTTTAGATAGTATGGTGGTTTGCCTCCTCATCTTCTCCTCGGAAAAAATGGCACCGGCTTCTATGTAGCCAATTTTGATTGAATGTAGGGATGTACCGGAATTTTGGACGGAATTTGTGTCTTTTACATCAATTCACTTCTGGCTTAAAATTAAAATTTTTTTTTACCTTTTTTTTTTATGACATGTAACACAGGTCATAAAAAAAATAGATAAATAAAAAATCATTATCCTACAGAGCAATAAAGAACTATAGGTAAACCTAGGTAAAAAATACAAATGTAATTTTTGCAAATGTATTTGCACTACTACTTCTGCAAATAAAATTACATTTGTATTTTTTACCTACGTTTATCTATAGTTCTTCATTGCTCATTAGGATAATGATTTTTTGATTTATTTACACAGCCTGTGTCACATGCCGTAAAAAAATAAATAAAAAGTATTAATTCCAGTCAGAAGCGAATTGATCTAAAAAATACAAATTCCGGCCAGTACATCCTTAATTTAATGTCAGGTCAGGTTTATCCTGCTACTGGTAACATGTAACCCAGTACAATCTGCTTCATGTCCAGCTGCCTTGTAGGATATGCCTTTTTAGGCAAAGGCTAGGAGATGCAAACTCCGACATAAAACACCCCTTGCCTTGGGGCGCTTGGTTGAGTAAAGGCTAGAGATGGTGTCTTGATAAAAATACTCATCTTGGGCAGATGTTAAATGCATCCGGCTGCTGTCTTGTTGAAGGCCTCCTAGGCAAAGACTTAAGGGGTAAACAAATTCTATCTGTTGACCAGCCTCGCACCCCTTCTCCATCTATTAGGCTGGCGCAGATGTATTTTTAATACATTGTTTCCAGTTTAGGATGTTGAACGCTGGATCTTCTTGACTCGATGCATGGGTTTTGCTTGTGTCTCTATTTTTATGACTAGGCAACTCATTCTATTATCTCCAAATGAGGATACAGCTCTAAAACTTAGTTTTATGGTTCTGAGGCCGGCTGGTAGTCAGGTTTCCCGAACTCTGTGGTAGCTCTCAGAGAGGCTGATTCCATCAACAGCTGAAAAATATATGAGTACTAACAGTGCCGTGTTGCGCATGGATGGTGTACCTGTTTGTACTTTTGATGTGCATTGCCAAGACCACATTGGAGCCCTTTGTTACGGCTTAGGGTTTATTAGTGGAAATGAGGCAATTGCTTGGGCTATAAAACAGTGTACTGAGTAATATCTATGTTTCGAGTCAAGTTCTTTAACAAATTTAAAAATGAATAAAGTAACAAAAACTATAAAATACAAAAAACCACAGTCATCACCAAGTTCGCTAAACCTATCATTCACCAATATTCGTGGTCTTCGAAGTAACTTTACTTCTGTTGAGTCTTATCTCTTGCAAAGTTCACCAGACCTACTTGCTCTTTGTGAGACTAATTTGAGTTCAGCTGCCTCATCTTGTGATCTTAGTGTTGATGGTTATCTTCCTTTAATTCGTAAAGACTTCAATAGTCACATGCTTGGCCTAGGCATTTACATTCGTAAGAATTCTTAGGCATAATAAAAAGTCAAAATATTATAAGTATTTTTTTTTTTGCATTACGTCTGTTTAGTCTAATAGTATATAATATATATATATATACATATATATATATATATATATATATATATATATATATATATATATATATATATATATATATATATATATATATATATATATATATATATATATATATATGTATATATATATATATATATATATATATATATATATATATATATATATATATATATATATATATATATATATATATATAAAAATTCATAAAATTTTTACTATTTATAGAAAAGAAACATGCTTAGCGACAAAGATATAAAGTGCCAATATCAGTTTCGAGATTCTGTAAAGTATTTCAACAGCAATCTTTTAATTGCAAGTTATATTGTTAATGCTATCGTTACACTAGCATCAAATATTGCTCTTATTGTTGGATTACGTAACACAACAAGAAGCAAAAAGTACACTCGAAACGAAAAACTTGTTATCGTACTCACAATTACTGATATATTGAATACTTTGGTGGTCTCATCATCTCAAACAATACTGTTAAGACAGATTAATAACTTTAGTTGTTTAGATATATCAATGATAACGTTTTTTCGTGTTTGGTTTTTGGGAATATCGGGGTGTACCTTTTTAATGATTTCTATTGAGCGATATTTAACCGTGTTTTATAATAACAAGATTTGTGGAATCTATATCAAAGATTCATATTTCGTTGGATACTTTGTTTTTATCATATTTTTTACCTTTTGTACTGCTGTTTTATACGGAGTAGTGTTTTCTACATCAAACATGCACTTACAGTTTATGCTTCACATTGGCACTGGATGCTTTACGTTTGCATTACTATCTATGATTGTTGCTACAAATATTCTATTGTTATTCAAAACGAAGGAAAAATTAAGAAATAACTCACTTAGAGCTCAGAGAAACACTGAAATTGAAAACTATATCACGAAAACCGTGGTGATAATATCGCTTGCGAACGTATTGTTTTATACGCCATGCTTTGCAGCTCAATGCCACTTGTCGTATATTTTTTCAAAAGCTCTTTATTCTCTTATTCCCTCTGTACATCGGATATTTATGTGGACTCTGGTTATCAGAGAAATTGGTCCGTGGTTGAACGCTTTGATTTATGCGTTGAGAAATAGAAGAATTTATAAAATGTATTTTTCGAAAATTAATTTATTTTTTAGAAACAATTCTGTCACAGTTAATTTAGTTCAAGAAACCTCATCTGTTACCAAATCAACATCTATGATGTAAGAAACCTCGTTGTAACGTTGTTAACAATAGTTAAAATGGGACTTCGTAACTTCGTATTATAAGGAACAACTTTTAAAAAATAATGATGGTAGTAGTACATGTTAAATATTTATTTTAATTTTGAATTATATTGTAAATAAACAATTTTGATTTGAACAAAATTGAAAACATGAAAATGTATTTAATAAAAAAATTTGGTGGAATGGGAAAAAATTTACAGGTCTGTAATTTGGCATCATTGGGTATTAAGTAAAAATGTAACGCACGCATGTTCTCATTTACGTTTATATTTTTACTTGAAATCTATTCAAAACGATATTTATAACTCTCACAACCAATATTTTCTGACTAAAGTATTTAATAAAATGTACTTCAGGATTTCTTAAAACACAATTTTCAAGTTTCACAATGGTGTGGTATATTAAAATTAACATCTTTTTTCAAAAAGTACAACATTTCATTCGACCAAAAAGTTACTCTAAATAAAGAAATATCAGATGAAACGAAAATCTTGTCTTGAACTAAAACTTGTTTTCCAAAGGTGTTATCGTAATTTATTGTTTACAATACTGTAAAAAAGGTATTTTAATATTTGATAACAGATTTCACGTAGAGTTTTTAGAGAACTAAAAATTTGATTGATCAGGTAAAGAATAATCAAAAAAAGAATCGGGCATCCGGGTACCAGTACGTTGGTTATAGCCCAGGTGGCATTTTTAACTGACGGGTACCCATAAAAGTTCTGATTGTGATTTTTTTTTTATTGCAATAAGAATTTCTGAAAATATATAACGTTTCCAAAAGTTATTGGATTTTCTTATTCAGATGTTCAATTTTATTCAATGTTAAGTACAATAAACCTCACCTTGTGTACAATGTTTTCCTTATAAGGACCGGCAAAGTCAACTTTTTAAGTCTCAAATTTGACTGAAAGACGTATTTAGATCCTATCTGTACACCAAATTTAACTGTAAGATGAATTTAGGCCATATGTATATCCAGATTGATTTTGCAGGAGGGTCTTCCTCCCCCCCCCCTCTAAAGATAGTTGTTTTTCAAGTTAAAGTTGGTTTTTTTACGAATTTAGTTGGCTAGTCGGGAATTTTACACAAATCTGTCAGGTAAATTTTAGTTTTGAGGACCTTATTTTTTTTTTTTTGAATAAGCCAGTTGGTACTTTTTAAAGATTCACCCCTCTTAGTATTCATAGAATCGCCTCTGTGTATACCCCGAATTTAACTGAATGACGAATTCGGATTTTAAAAACATATTTAATTCATCGAAAAATTCAGTTTTGTGTAAGTCAAGCTCTTTTACATATTTGTTGTAAGATTGGTTAGGGTCCAAATGAAAAAGCTGATGAGCCTGGAATTGGATACTTTTTCATGACAATGGATGTCAGTTTTGGGTGTTGTGGTGCTTTGCTCTTCCATTACTGTAAAACACCAGCTTTTTTTGCTACTAATGAGAATAAATGTTTTTTTAAACAACTTAAAAAAAAAATAGCTTCATCAATTTGTTACAAATATATGTTTTAAAAAATCTAGTTGTTGTTATTTATATTTACATTACACAAAGTACATGTGCATAATAGCAACGTCAGTGTCATTAGAATGTGCTTTCTTGATTACTGAACATGTGGTGAATTGGCGGCGTGCATCTTTGACACCCGAAACAGTGGACATATAGTATTTTTAAACTGTAATTAGGACTTGTGTAACCTGGACACTTGAAGAAAAATAAAGTTTAAATATAAATGAAAAAGAAGTACTATTATAAAAAATATTTTTTTTATCGGGTACCCGTTAAAAAAAATATTTTTTGTTTGACATGTACCCGTTTGTTCGACATGTACCCAGGGAGGGATTTTTACTTTTTCCAACTCCCCTATTCACTAGCAATTTTTTTTTTCTTTTAAATAATTATACGTTTATTTAATGCAATCGCACTTACCTAAACAGTTAAACTGTTGATATTGCACCAATTCTATTAAAAATTCTTGAAGGATTCAATTTTACTTATTGGTACTGGAATTATCAAGTGTGTTTTTATAGCAAGGAATAAATTTTGACATAAATTATTACTTGGTTGTGAAATAGGTTTTGTTCTGAATCATTTTCACATGAAATTTTTCTCCTTGGTGAATTATTTTAATGATTCTTTTCGGAATATTTTCAAAATCATAAATTATTGAGACAAATAATATTATGGTGATAACACTATTTGTCGTCACAACAGAGCTGTTTACTAAGCTAGTCTTTTGCCTTTTCAATTATATTAAGCCACAGCGGTAGATTTATATCGCTTCCTAGCAACTCTTTAAGTAAGTTTTTCAAAACTTCTATCGTTGTGTTTGAATTTTTTTTTGTGACAGTACAAGTTGACTAAAATTGTTTTTTTTTCTAAATTATTAAAAAAGCATTTAGTTTAGTCTACTTTATATGGATCAAAAAATCTAGAGCCAAAATTTTTGAAATCCGTTTTGAATAGTTTGCCTTATTTTTCTTTGTCTAAAACTTTATTAAGTATTGCTTTTTAAAATATTTTATTTGCTTTCCTGGCTGAGATGACCAGTTATGAATAGTGCTCTTCCACTGCGACTTTATTAGCTTGGAGCTACTCGTTAAACTTTTTAACCAAAGTTTAACGATGATTCGTTTTCGGACTTCTTTTAACTAGAGTACGACGATTATTCATTTATTAAATATTGATATACAAACGTTCGTTGGAGAATATTCGTTAAATTGTTCGTTTAAGTATATTCGTAAAAACTAATTGTTTAAATTGTTCTCAGGGTACAAATATATTCGTAAATCTATATTCGTTTAGTAAACAATAACCGTTATATAAAATAAACAAATATATATATTCGCGAAAGAAATAAACGGTAACAAATATATATAGGTTAACACTTATTCGCTAAACGAATGAATATTTGTTCAACGAACATTATTTATAGAATATAATTTCTTAAGCGAATATTATTAGCAAAACATAAAAAAAAATATTTGTATTTTACGAATATATTATTATATTTCATTTTTATATATTTTAATTTTTTAGATTTGAAAATGTTAAATAAACATATTAATATTGTTATTTATACTCTTCCAGTTAATTACGGAGTCACGTTATACCAACAACCTGCAGGTTTCGATCCATTTACATTAAGCAGCCACCAACATATGCTGGTGGAGACGTTTTAACAAAAAAAAGCTTTTAATGATATTTTTGTTCGTCAATTCCGAACAAAAATATCATTTTAAGCTTTATAATTGATTTTTTTTCCATAATTATTTACATAATTTATTATTTTACTTATTATATATATGAAACAATATGGTAAAGTTAGTTTAATATTAGCTATTACACGTGCCAATTTTTGGAACAGGTATTTCTTTCCAAACAAATTTTATCTGTTTATAATAATCATATTCTAAAGAAAATTTTATTTTCCATTTATTTACAATTTCTATTTTAGATTAAACATTTGAATATTTTTTTCAGGTGCACGCAGCCTTTCTTTATAAAATGCCCAAAAAGTCTTGTATTAGGATTTTTTTGAAATGGCTGATAATACTCAAGCAAAGTGTTATGTGTGCAAAAAGGAACTTGTGCTTTAGCAACTGAGCATTACTTCAGGTCTTATTATTCATCTAAAAAGGCTACTTTTCCCTTTTAGATGATTAATAAGTTTTTTCGGAATATAAGAAACTCAATACTCAAAGATTGCCAATTAGCCTCGCGTTATTGATGATAACGACTCTTTAGAACTGATTTCATCAAAACACCCAAGACGAGCTCGTTTAATTGCAACTCCTATGTAATACTCTTAATTTTTAACATCATCTGGTAAATCAGTGATATAATTATATTAACGTTTAAAAAAAAAAATTAAAAATGTAAATATAGTTACATCACCGAACAGTTACCTTTTAGGATACTGGGTAGTAAATATTTTCATGAAATAATGTAGCAAGCAACGAAGGGGAAGTATAGCTCAGTTACATTAAAATCACTTTCTCAAGACAGAAGTCCTTAATAATATAAATTCATCAGTGATCATGTGAACAAAGTTATTGACCTTTATGGTTGTGGCTTTACTATTGATTGACCTTTATGATTGTGGCTTTACTACTGATATCTGGACTTCTTGTTATAATCTTGCTTTCCAATCTCTTACTCATTTTATTGTAAAACGTTTTTAGCTTAAAGGCTTCCTGTTAAACTTGATTTGATTGATCCATTTCCTGATGCACATAAGACCGAAAATGTTATTAAAAAACTAGATTACTTACATAGCCAATTACTGATGGAGGTTCAAATGCTATAAAAGATGCGCATCAGCAAAGTTTATCAACAACAATCTTTAGTGCACTGATACATTTAATTGTCACACAACCTCTAACTAGTGTTTCTGAGTAATTAGAAATTTCACTAAAGCTAAACAAATTATTTAGGTACATTATTCATTCTTGTAAGGCTACGAGTATTTTGAGGAATATTGCTATTGAGCATAATCAACCACAAACTAGTCTTATCCACCAAATCGAGTGAAACTCTGTTTTGAGACAGTTAAAATCCATTATTGATCTAAAAGCATGCTTGGCTATTATGAAAGAAACTTCGAATAAAATTAATGGTTGAATGCCCACTGTTGAAGAAGCTAATATAATTAAAGATATTATTGAATGTCTCAATCCGATTGATTTACAAGTTTTAAGCTCTGACAAAGACCCAGCAATCAACTTGGTGATACTGAAAATCTACAATCTTAAAAAAAATTAGCTAAAATTGGAAAACTAGGTTAACTTTTATCTGTCAAAAATATAACTTAAGCTCTCATAGCAGGATTTCAACAACTATTTTATGATTGTGGTCATAAAGTGCCTGAGTATTCAATGGCACATTTTCTTACTGATAAAAGATACGAATATATCAAGGATACCACTACTCAAGCCATAATTGATATGCGCCAAGCAGATATGGGCGAAAGTCCTACATACACTGAAAAAGCTGAGAAAAATTGTCTGTAACGGTGAAGAAATTACAAACGGCAACACAGATATCATCAAATATTGGAAGACCAAGCGTACGATATTTCCAAATCTTAGCAGACTAGCAAAGAATATCTTGTGCATTCCTGAATCATCAGCAACCTTGAAACGAGTATTTTCAATTGCTGGAAATGTTCTATCGGAAAGAAGAAATAATCTTAGCATTGACAATATTGAAACGATGGTTTTCATGAAAGAAAACTTGAAGCAGATGAAAAAATAAGAAAATATGGACAAAAAAATATAATATCTTATACATAATAATATTTTTCATTATTGATTTTGATAAAAATTTGATTCAACTATTATGAAAAGTATATAATATTGCCATCAGGTGGTCTGTAACAAGTAGATAGATCACAGGATAACATTGCCATCAGGTGGTCTGTAACAAGTAGATAGATCACAGGATAACGATAAAAATTAAAAAAAAATGTATAAAAAACTTTATTAAAAACTGACTTCAACGATGTGGCATAATTAAATCTGAAAAATGTTGTAGATTAATTTAGTTTAAACCATAATAGTTAGACCAATATACTAACTAAATTTAACGTCTTGTTTTATTAAAGAGTATATTCACTACCGCTGATTCGCTGAACAATTATTATATTCGTACAACAAATAAATGGGAACGATTATTTGTTTAACGAATATTCGTAAAACATTTATATGTTGAATAATATTATTCGTTTATAATATTATAACGAATAAAATAAAAAAGAACGAATATTCGTAGCCGTTTAAGAAATAATCTTTGAAAAAACTCGTTATCGAATAATCGCCGCGCTCTATTTTTAACTTCAATTGGCGAAGGTAAACAAACTTTGCCGACAGTTATTTTATTTTTAATTACTTAAATTTGAACTCAATTTATTAATATTATTCCTTTCTATGATTTCAACTTTGGATAACTGTTTTTACCCGACAATTTTAGTTGATGTCTCAAGTATTTATCCAATTCTAATTGATTTTTGGTTAAACTAGGTCTTTAATTGTGGTTCTCGAGATGTTATTCATTTAGATTTTCCATTTTCCTAACTGCGTTTTTCTGATTTATTTAGAATTAGTTTTTAAACACACAATTCTTAATTTATATTGGTTTACCCAACAATGGCAGCCTTAATGATGTCTAAATTAAATAGAGGGGTTTCTTATTTGAGTTCATTTTCACTCAAAAGAAAACCGGTAATAATAATAATGTCAAGTTTTCTTTTGTTAATATTATATACACTAAAGTTTAGAGTTTTCCCTTACATCTGTGGTTACCGCGACCTAAAAACTAGGAGTGCATTGATGCCGATTGGTACACGCTGATACCGATGCATAGGGTCTAAAATCGAACTTGTATTTATTTCTTTTTACCTAATAGGTAAATTAGGATTTGTTTTCAAATATGTTAACGGTCAATTTTAGTGTCAGTTTATTTACTAAAGTTTGTTTAATTTTAATGCTTGTTTGCTTAATTCTTAGTTGCTTTGCTCAACGTTGATTTATATTTTACTTTTAAGTTTAACTTCTAGAAGTTAGAAATTTATATATATATATATATATATATATATATATATATATATATATATATATAAACTTCTAATCGGGATAGCTGAATTGGTTTGAGCGCTGTTAAAACTTGGATTTATTATTAGCCCTAACAGCAGGATTGCAGATTCAAATCCGGGTACGCCTACTCAGCGCATGAGTAGTACCTCGTTAGAAAGGGAACTCGTCTCAAAACAGCTCTGCTATTACGATGTTTCCCTTTCGACTGGTAACTAAATAATTTAGTCAAGTAAATGAAAACTATCGTTTATAAAACTATATTCTTGGTATTATTCTTAGAAATAAAATTAAATAAGAAATAAATCTACAATGAGCATAGCAACTAATAGATTTTGGTACAGATGAAAATAAACCAACAAAGCAATTTGTAAATTTTGCAAAATAAAAAGAAGAACATCTGGCTCAAAATTAATTTTTGCATATCTTGGTTTTAAACTTATCTTTTTGTATAGTTTGGATCCATAATTCATAATTGCTTTCCCAAATTATAAATAGACACTAAATGCAGAGAGATTATGATAAAAACAGTTCAAAAGGTATTTAAAGGTTTAATGGTTAAAGATGTTCATATAAAAAATTAGGCTTATACACGCATTTTTGTTTATGAACTTTGGCATACAATATGAAAACACGAAAGTAAAAAAATTGATTTTTCAAAACAATCGGCATTGGCCTATGGTTACCAAAATCAATGCCGATACTGACGCCCCTACTAAAAACTGTTATTTTATAAAATTTAAGTTATTAAAAAAGAAAAAAAAAAAATTATAAAGATAGAAGTTGAAGATCAAAATTGAAGGTTTAAAAGTTTAAATTATGCCTTATAAACATGGATATTATGTTAATGGAAAATGATGACTCACAGAAAACCTGAGAATGAGGCAATATAGGGTGGGGGCAAAACTAAACTAAATGATAAAATTAGAGTAATATTATTATTTTTTTAAAAATCACGTATAAAATGCACTGAAAGAAACTCAAATATAACGTTCTTTCAAGAAAAAAAAAAAAAAAAAATTCCATATTAGTCATAAAATATATATTAGAAGATGGCTTTCTAAAAAATCGTATTTGTTCAAATTTTTAGATATCTTCTAGACATTTGAGTTTCATACAAACAATACACGATAACTAATTAATAAAGTTTCTGTAGACAATATATACAATACTCGATAACTAATTATAATATAGAGTATATTAGTTATATCATAACAATTACCAGTAATTACATAAAATAGAAAAAACTCAAAAACTAAAAATTAGAAGGGGTTTAAAAGTACAAAACAGCAAGAAATATGGCTTTTGAATAAAAACGTATAATTAATTACTTGTCGGCTCAATTCATTAGGGAAAATTTATTAGTTTCAAGTCTCTAACTGTTTGTAAAATAAAATGTGAAAAACATTTGGCTAAGGCAAATAGAATTGCAAGTCTAAACGAAGAGCTGTCCAGTTCAAATTGCTATTTTTTTCATTATTTTATTTGAAAAATTTACTCCTCCAACCAGATCGAAAAAAGAGGACGATTACTACTTTTTTCATGCGTAGATTTTATCATTTTCATAGATTTAAACCTCTGAAATTGATCATTATATTTATCTCCATTATATTTATTTCAGAAAAACTTTTATAAATCTCTCTATTTTTGCAAATTGTGACGTTTCACCTACGTTAAACCACTTTTTTTTAAATTAGCGGCAATAATCATATTGGTAACTGCTTTAAAAACAAAATCGATGTTAGCAGTGTCTGTTGCACAAGTTAAATGCACATATATTTCTTTAGATTCATTTCGATTTCTATCTAAAAATTTTTGTCTAATGTATCCGCAAGCTTCTTCATATTCATTTTGACCTAAAAAAGTTTATTATATATATATATATATATATATATATATATATATATATATATATATATATATATATATATATATATATATATATATATATATATATATATATATATATATGATGTAATGTTTTATTTCCGTTAAATAGTTCATTTATAGCGGTATATTTAAAGGACTTTTAAGCGAAAAAATTAATAAAAAAATAAATAAAAGGAAATTACTTGAAACTAGACAAATACAATATAAATTTTTTTTTTATATTTGATAGACTGCCTGCCCAAACCAAACCCTCAGTCAATTTAGCAGCACTCCGTTGCAAGTCAGGCTATAAGATAGTCAATGTAGCAACACTCCGTGTATGTTTTACAGTTAAAAAATAAATTTTTTTTTTTAAAGTTTTAAAATAGATAATTAAGAATTGGAGAGTTTATTTTATTATTACTTTTATCATAACAATAATGGTCTTTAAAATATAATGTTTTGGTTGGCAAAAAAGTTCGCATTTTACCGGTTCGCAGTTCGCATTTTACCGACAGCCTATATACGTACATACATATATATATATATATATATATATATATATATATATATATATATATATATATATATATATATACATATATATATATATATATATATATATATATATATATATATATATATATATATATATATATATATATATATATATATATATATATATATATATATATATATATATATATATATATATATATATATATATATATATATATATATACACACACACACACATAGAGCCGGCTTGTGAGCATTTCGTAGCGTGTGCATAAAAAAAAAAAAAAAAAATTGCCGCCGTTAAAAATGGTCAAATTTTATTAGAACGACGTATTTTTTTGGCAATTTTTCGAAGTGTGCAAAGTACACAGGCGGCAAATTGAAAATTTGCCGCAATTTTTCGCACACACACACAAACACATATAAAAGGTAAGAATTTTAAAAGTTGTCAACGTATATGCTATGCGTTTATAAATGTTTATATAAATGTTATTAAATTAGTTATTATTTCGTGATATATAACCAAATAACCAAATAATTTTATTTCTAATCAATTAATTCTAAAGATTGTTATTTACGTAATATATTATTTCCTTTTGATTGAGCACATATATTCTTAAAAATACTTAGATTAGTCTTACTTAGATTATAGATCAAGTATAGAGAAGCAAAGAAAAAAAAAAAAAAAAAGAATAAAAAAGAAAAAAGATTAAAAAAGCTTAAAAAACAAAACAAAACAAAAAAACAAAAAATTATGAGGGGAAGACACATTGACTTTTACGGCGAAGCAAGAATTAGATGGGAAAAAAAAACATACAAAGATTTAGTTGGATAGTAGAGTGATATATTGTAGGTATAAGGGGTAACCTGGGTGTCAGATAATCAGATGGAGTAATGTTGATCTATGTGTGCAAAATTTTGATATTATAATAAAATTATTAATCTATTGATTTCATCAGGCCTATTATGTGTTTTTATAAAATGCTAGTTTTGTTAAACATGTTTGAAGTTTATAACTTAACAAAAAACTTGTGTTTTTTTTTTTTTGTATGTGTGAATAAAACAATGTTTATTTTGGTGTTGCGTTAATTTGATTTGTAATATATTATATTATCAAATATAATAATTTATTTTACCTAAAGCTTCATATTTTAAACATGCCAATAAATTATAATGTACCCAAGTACAATAGCGATGGAAAAAACTATTATGTAAAAAAAAACTTTTTTTCTTCAAAAAACTGTATTAAACTCCCCAAGGCCACTAGACGCAAGAAGGCTACTCTTTTTTTTTACTCTATTTTTTAAATTCTTATAAAAACCCTCTTAACTACACAGGAAATAAGTTTTGACCAATACTACCAGGAATGTGGTAGGGATCAAACTAGCTACTCCTAGCTTACAAAACATGTCTACCATTAGAACACTACCACAACAGTAGTTGATTATTAGTGAATGCATTTTATGCTATTTGTTGTCCAAGAGCAAAAAAAAATAATATAAATTTTTTGAGTCACTTTAATTAAGTCATTTAACTTAAAAGTACCATAACCAAAGGTAATCATATCCATACTAATTTCCTGCCACTAAATTGCTCGCATGAATTACAACAGTTAGGTGCACCTGTATTTATTATGTTTTTATTTGTAAAGCAGTTTACAAGAGAAATACAAAGTATACATATTGGTAAGACAGGATTATTAAAGAAATTAAGACAAGTTGTGCTGATATCATAAAGAAACTTTTCTATCAAAAGATTTTCTATCAAAAATAAAATTTTCAAAATAAGGTTTTAGTTAATAAGACTTACCAAAACTTATCAAAATATTGACAAAAAAAAAAAAGTGTTCTAACACCATTTTGTTTCTTGTAAAACTTTTTATAAATCTGGTCTAATAAATTTGCTTATGTAGGGTAATGTTTGACAGCAATACATAAAAATTTTAACTAATAAATTATTAACATGTTGTATTTGGATTTTCACTTTTGCAAATTATCTTTAAAATTAATAAAAATTTAAATTTAAATGAAGAAGAAGTTTAATTGAAATTGAAATAAAAAAAATAAGTTACTTGAATAAGAATAAATTAATTTTTCGCGAAGCTTTATGGGATCGAAATGTGGACAAATAAAACAAAATGCAAAGAAACTAAATACCAATTCTGAAGAAAATGTGTATTAAAGTGCAAAAAAAAAAAAAAAAAAAAAACAATGTTTTTAGAATTTGTTCTTATCAGACTCTTGCTACCTTGAACATTTGCCAGCTGGTGTAATTTTAAAAAATAGGAATAACTAAAGATTTGATGACAAACTTGAAAAAAAGCATAAAAGTAAAATAAAGCTTTTGAAACTATATATTTAAACAAAAAGTTTACATCTTGTAGATTTTCTTGTCAAAAAAAATGAAAACAATATTAACATAGATGCAAACAATATGTTTAATCATCATAACAAAGAAATTTTGTTAAAAAAGTTTGTTAACTCTTTATTAGTTAGCCATTCCAGAGCGCAACGAAAATCATTTGATTTTTGACAATAAAAAACACATAATTTTCATGTACTTTACTCTTATATCTTTTTTTAAAATAATAAATAACTAGAACCTTGAGGTTTTTTGCATCAACTAGCTCGACTCAACTTCTTTCTAACCATATATAGAAAGTACAATGTTTAATACGGCTTCTTTTATACATTATTCATTTCTTAAGACCACTATTGATAAAAAAAATTACAGACACATTTTTTCAAAAGTAGTTTTTATAAGTAAGATTTCCTAAGCACAATTTGTATGAAACTTTCCATATATATTAAAAAAAGGGACGAGGAATCCAATGGAATGGTGGACTCTAAACATTCATACATAATTTTTTAGTTCTCAGCATTTAAAAACTTCAAGGTTAATTTATATTGAAAAAAGTGTTTTTTTGAAAGAATCCATGTGGAAATGGAAATTATAGCCTTTCCTCAATTCAAAACAAGTATTTATCTTTGTTTTCTTGAAGAAATAGTACTTAGGAATTTTGTTTAGAAATTATGTATATGTTTTTATTCATTAGCGTATTATTTGTTTTGATTTTTGCGATTTTTGATGTTATTTTATTTTACTTCGGTGCCATTTCATGCCAAATTTTCCATACTTAAGGACAAAATGTTTTGTCAAAAAATGATCAGTGTTTCCAGCACAAAAAATGCAATAACTTTGAATCCAATTAACTACTAAAGTTGAAAGATCCCTCATTTTTTAAGTCTTTTTAGGCTCTATACAATCATGTTAACCATATATAAATATTTTGACAAAATCCTCTGGAATGGCTAGCATTGTTGATTTTAATACTGGTAATAGCCATGATTTTATTGTTGATTTTTTGTATCATTTAGTCCTTTATTATATGAATATGAAAAATGTAATTTTATAGCTTTAATGAATCTCAATTTTCTACTTTAATGACTTTCTTAAACTAGCAAATTACCAACTTTCATATTTAAGCTCAAGGAGTGTGAGGATTAAAACAAAGCCTTAATAGTTATCTGTAAAAAAGCATAAGCATGTCTCAAATTTTATACCAATGTAGCATTAGTGATGTGGCTTTATTTCAGAAGTGTGGAATTATAGAGTTTATTAAGTTTCAAGATTGTTTTCTTGTCTATAAAAAGACTTGCTCTTATAGAATCAAGCAACTATTTATATTACACTATATATTTAAGTGTGTAAAAAACTTACAAAAAAAGAGGAAACAAAAGAAACTTTATAATTAATAAATGACATCAATACAAAAAAGTTCTTACAAACTCGATTTATAAATGTTATGTTTGGATTTTCCCTTTGCCATTAAATTTAAATAAAAATAAGTATATGTTAAAAAAAAGACTTTAAAATGAGGAAATTTCTTTTATAAACAACATTTAAATTTTATTATTTTTTATTTTATTATTATTTTTAATTGTTTAATATAAAGATATTTCATTTCAAAAACTTGCAATAATTCTTAATGTGGTTTTAAATTTAATTACAATGAGGCATTTTAAAATACGCAACTGACCAACTACATTTATTCACGTTGTGCTTTTCTGTTACACAACAAAATCAACACGCCTGCACCTTAGATGTGAGAAAATTTAGAAGATCCTTAATGTAAATTCAAGGGTCAATGATTGAAATTTGAGGAACCCCTGAAGTTACAGGATATGAAGAAGAGTGCTGTCCATGGAGAACAACTTTTATACAACAATTGGAAAGCAAGGATTTAATAATCTTAAAGATGTTACCAGATACATTGTATGAAGAAAGCTTATGGAGAAGACCAGCATGCCAAACTTTATCATAAGCTTTAAAAATGTCAAGATAAAGGTAGCCTTAACCTCTCCACCTATATCTAATGCACAATAATACTTATTGGTTATTACTGTTAGCAAATCAGCAGTAGAACGAGAAGATTGAAATTCATATTGATGATCAGATAGTAAGCTATTAGATTCAAGATGAGAGATTAAGTGTTTGCTAATTAAAGATTCAAAAACTTTGCTTATGATAGGAAGAATACTAATAAGACGGTAGTGAGACAAATCAGATTGTTTTCCAGAATTATTAAAAACAGGGATAACAGATGCTGCTTTCCAGCAGGCTGGAAAACAAGACTTAGATATGCGCTTGTTAAATAGTTTTAAAAGTATAGACGACAGCTCCAGAGAACACTTCTGCAAGACAATAACAGGTATGCTATCTGGACCACAAGCTGTAGAAGAGTCTTAGCAGGAAATCACTTTAGATACAGAAGCTTGAGTGATTTGAATGTCAAGCAATGGATCAATCTGTTTGACGGCTATATCAGGTAGAACGCATCAAGTGGAATCAAGATGGTATTGATAAAACTTCTTAGGAAACAATTCAGCTTTGTCTTTAGGTGAGATGACAAAGTCTGAACCATACAAAAAAGATGGAATAACAGATTTGCCCTTATTATTGATACTGTCAAAGATTCTCCAGAAGACACAAGAGCCTAATTTTGTGACCTGATTTTGTGAGATGATTTCATGACCTGAGAATAGCAAGCTTTGGCGTTAGACAAAACTTTTTTACAATGGTTTCTAGCAATAGTATTTAAATTTATTAAGTTCATTTGTTTATTAAATTTCACTTATCGCCAAAGAAAACTGATATATATATATACTTTACTGATAAAAGTAAAAACTTTCAAATTTAAACTAAATGATCAAAATGAAAACTTATTGTAATCAGCTCTTAAAAATTCATAAACACTAAACAAGAATTCAAAAAGTTATTGAGAGTTTGTAAAAACTTTACATTTTTGAGTTGTTTGCAAATCCTTACAAATCGATCCCACAATCCTTAGTTTTAATTTATTCAAAATATACATGACAAAAGCCAAACGCTACTCTATTGAGTTAAACAATGATTTTTCATTTTTTTATGACTATGAAAGAGTTTACATTTATATTTTTTGCACTATATTTGTTGTGGTTTAAATATTATGCACTATATTTGTCACGGTTTAAATTTATGCATTTATTTGTAGCAGTTTAAATTTCTTTATATCTTCAACAATTTTGAAAATAAACTAATGAGCTGAAATTTATATTATTTACAAACTTTGTTTTCTTTTTTAAATTTTTACACAAAATTATTAACAAAATCAGTTATTATTATTTTTTTTATTAGACCAAGTTTATTTTTTGTAACTTAAACATGGAATAAACAAAAGAGACAAAAAGCATGAAAATAGTGAAAAGAATTCAAATATTTTAACTATATATGCTGAGAAAGCAAAGACAAACTAAAAGAAACAAAAAACAAAGCTAATTGTGTAAACTAAGCTTCTTAAAAAAATCTACAGTAAGAGCAAGCCTTTATTATTCAAATCAAAAAACGTAAAATCATGAGCCCATAACCAAAAACATAATGGCAATCAAAAATTTGATATCCTTTTGTTTATACCTAAATAAAAAATTTATTTTTGAAGGTATCCAAACCTTATTTTCTAATATTTATTCGAGTAACTAACACAGCTTGTCAGAGATTTCATGGTTAGGGTTCTTACCATAAAGAGCCCTAAATCTCAAAGCTTAAAAATGCCAAGATCTGCTATATAAGGAGCTTTAGGGATAAATATACGATTTAATACATTTTCACAGAAGAGGCAATAATAGATCAATAAAAAAGAAAAAAAAAAGAGAGAGAAAATAGGCAAAATACAGAGAAGTTTTTCAAAATGAGCAAGTAAAGCATTAATTGTAAAAATCTTTTTAATGTCTTGAACTGTGTATCACTTACACACAACTTGAGTGGATAAAAAGGTTTTTAATGGAAACAAAGATCAAAAATATGATACAGGAGAATCTAGAGATTCAGTATCTTCAATTTCATCTTCTTAAGTAGTTTTAATACTTTACAAACCTTATTCACAACAAGAAGCAAAGAGATTTTTTAATTAGGTCTCCATATTCACATGTTCTTGGTTTCCATATGGCTATTTTCACATTTAATTAATATTATGAAAGAGTTAGCAACTAGAAAGTGTTTTTAAAGTCAATGTTAACTGAAATTAAAAAAAACTTTACACTTTCAATACTCATGTTTTGTTGGAAAAATGTTAAGAGCATTGGCAACAGCAAAATAATCTTTATTAAAATACAAAGTGTACTGTTGCGACAAAACATGAATTTTAATAAATAACATAAATTTTACAGTTTAAAATTTATGTAGTAGTAGTAGTAGTAGTAATAGTAGTAGTAGTAATAGTAGTAGTAGTAGTAGTAGTAGTAGTAGTAGTAGTAGTAGTAGTAGTAGTAATAATAATAATAGTAGTAGTAGTAGTAGTAATAATAGTAGTAGTAGTAGTAGTAGTAGTGGTAGAAGTAGTAGTAGTAGTAGTAGTAGTAGTAGTAGTAGTAGTAGTAGTAGTAGTAGTAGCAGTAGTAGTAGTAGTAGTGGTAGAAGTAGTAGTAGTAGTAGTAGTAGTAGTAGTAGTAGTAGTAGTAGTAGTAGTAGTAGTAGTAGTAGTAGTAGTAGTCAAACATAATCAAAATACTGTTACTTTTCTTGCATAATAGAAAAAGATTTATGGTACTGTCAAATAATTATTTACTTACAACTTCAAGTTATAGTTAAGAAACTTTATTTAAAAAAAAGCAGAAAACAAATTAATTTCCAATGAAACTGCAAGCAATAAATTGTATTCACAAGAAAAAATTTCAAAATGGAAGAGACTTATTCAAGGAAAAAAACTAGACAAAAGTTTTTAGAACAAGAAAAAGGAGTTAAAAAAATGCAACTAAATGACAAGCCCTGCAAAATCAAGTTTTGATTTATAAAACAAGAAATAATAGATTGCTTGAGCATCAAACATAGTATTAATTAAGTAAAATGGTAATAAAAAAGAGTAAGAGATGCACCTTACATGGAGTAGAGGCTCAAACTTAGTAGCAAAACAAAACATTTCTGAGGAATGGACCTTGTCTAAAGAAAAAAGAAATATAACAACTGTATTCCATACAAGGATAATAAATAAAAGATTTATGGTATGATGGAGTAATGATGGAGAATGATGGAGTATGTTGGAGAATGGTAGAGAAGAAATAAATTGGTATGATAAATACATTAGTGATCAAAAATTTAGACTCAGAAAAAAAAATTTCTTAAGCTTAGCTCTTAAAATGCCAAAAAAAATTTATTAAGATGTTTGAATTTTTTTTTTTTAAATTTAACTTAGTTTGTTTCCATCATAATTACAAAAAACACACACCTTTTATTGTATATATTGATCTTTTTTTTAATTTTTTAATAGTAGCGTTATTTAAAAACAAATAAAATGTGTCTCTGAAATTTAGACTCACTTTTTTCTATCTTTATTTCCATATAAGTGCCCAACCTTTTTTTTTTAAAGATTGTAATTCTAACATGGATCAAAATATATTTTCTAAAATATTATGTTTAAATCCATTTAAAAACTAAATTAATTACTTACTTAGTGCACGCTAATCAAAATATACAATTTTTACTCATTATTTGCATTTAAAATATTTAGAAAATGGGTAAAACATCAGTCTCAAAAGAAATCAAAGAAAGAATTATTACTTTGCACCTAGATGGTAATTCTACAAGAAAAGTTCAGTTGATTCTCAAGAACGTATCGCAGTCATGTGTCACTAAAACAATAGCTAAGTGGAAAAAAACAGGTAGCACATTAGATAAAATCAGATCCGGAAGACCCAGAAAAACAACTACCACTGATGATAATAGTATATACAGAAATGCCAGAAAAAATCCTAAGTATAATGCCAAAAAAATTGCTCAAGAAATATATCTAGCTCTTAAAAATGACATCTTATGACAAACAGTAAATAGAAGATAAATTGATCGTAAACTATGCTCGTATACTGCTGCTAGAAAACCAATGCTTAAAAGATCAGATCAACTCAAACGGCTACAATTTTGCAAGAAAATTCTTAAGATGAGTGATAGTGATATAAAAAAAATTGTATTTAGCGACGAATCGAATTATACAGTCCTTAATTGAAAAAATAGAGTAACTGTTCAAAGACACCATAATGAGAAGTTTCATAACTGTTTCATTGTACCTCGAATACAGGGCGGAGGAGGTTCAGTTGAGATCTGGGGTTGTATCACGTATGATAGACCCGGAATATGCTACTTGTACACTGGTAGAATGGACCAACACAAATACATCGAGACATTGGAAAATCATTTGTTTCCAACAAGAGACTTATTTTTTGGAGAAGAGCCAGAAGGGAAGTTTCACCAATGCCGCTTGTCACAAAGCAAAAATAGTAACAGCTTGGTTTAAAGAAAATAAAATCAATTTACTCCAGTGACCAGCTAGATTGCCAGATTTAAATCCAATCGAAAATGTATGGTCTTTGCTTGATCGAAAACTGACCAAAGCTCCTGTAACTTCAGCTGAAGAACTACAAAAAAGTTTAAAAGAGTTATTTGATGGCTTGCCCTTTGAATATTGTCAAAATCTTTTTGAATCTATTAAAATAAGATGTTGACTTTGCATAGCTAACAAAGGCGGTCACATACCTTATTAACTTGACTTACAGTTTAAAGTGAAAAATCCTGAGTCTAAACTTATGAACAAGATTTTTGTAGATATCTTTTTACATGATTTTGCTATTTTCAAAATAAAATACTTTAAACTTGTTTTTCTTTTATGTCTTTTATATATATTAAAGAGAATTTCATAAATAATAAACTGGATTAAAAATAAAATCAAAAAAAAAAAAAAGGCATTTTTTTAAATCACAAATCACTAAGAAACTATAAATTTTATTCTGAGTCTAAATTTTTGATCACTAGTGTAAATATAATATAATATATATATATATATACAGGCTTGGTCAGGAAGCGGGAGCGATCACTCTCGAATACTGACCATGGAAATTATATTTAGTTGCGAAAAACTGGCCAGGTTTTTTAGTCGTTTTGAGAACATTTAAGTTTATGTACGAAACAAAAAATTTTTGTTTTACGGACATACATGGAAACATAATAAACTTAAATGTTCTCAAAACATCTTTGTGCGAAAGAATAATAAGAATATTCGCGAACACTAAAAACCCGCCAAATTAACGAAGAAACTAATTCTATTGGTTCAAAAAATACGCTGACTTAGCGAAATTAAGAAGAGTAATCTGTTGAAATGTTTTTAGAAACGATTTGTTACGTTTTGAGATTTCTAGCATAACTTGTTTTAAGAATAAATATATTATTTGTTTACAAAAATAAAAGTTTTAAATATATATTAAATTGTCAAAATGTTAAAAGTTTATTATAAATTATAGATTTTATTATTATATTCTTATTTTTTATTTCAAAAGTATGTATTCTTTATGTAAATTTAATTTTGTTTATCTGTTTTTTATCGTAATGTATCTTTTAAAGCAATTCTTACGATTCAAACAAAGACTTACAAAAATAATTGCGTTTTCAATGAAGTTATAATCGTTATAGTTAATAAAACTAATTACGTAACAAACATATAAGAAGTTTCTAGTTACTAAACACAAACAACGCGTACAAAGTAACTCGCAGATGAACAAGCACTGCGCCTGAGGTCACGACAGAACACAAATATATATAGCAAATAATTAGATATAAAGAAAAGTTACTAGATATTGGTTTACTAACTCTAATTATTTTCGCTTAAGTTGCCATTCTAAAAACTTGTTATACTTTTTTCTGCTTTAAATACTAATTAAAATTAAAAAGTCCACTCACTAAACATCACCAGCGATATTGTGAAGCAATTTCGCTTCCTCGTCATGAAGTATTTTTAACCTTAAGTTGATTTCTATATTGTTAATTTAATTTCTATAGTAATTCAATGATTTAATTATTTTATTTGTTTATCTTACTAAAAAGAAATGCTTCAAATAAGTTCAACTTTTCAAACTACGCGAAACATAAAATAGGTATTGAAAAAATTAACTTTATTATTTATAAAATAAAAAATTAAACTAAAACTTGCAAACTTTGTTAAATAAAGAATATTTGTTTCCTCTTTAAACAATCGTAAGTTGTTACTTTATATAAAAAACATCGCTTAATTTTATAAAAAAAATTATAAAAGAGCGATATTTTGAAAATATTTGTTTTAAAAGTAAACTTTAAGTTTTTTCGCGTTTAAAGATATTTTATTTACCTAATTTTTTTTTTTTTTGTAATTGTGTCTCATCGGTCCAATTAATCTTAAGCGCTTTTTTTTTTTGCTTTTAAAATGTTCTCAAAACGACTAAAAAATCTGGCCAGCTTTTCACAACTAAATATTATTCGAATAAATTGAGTGCGATCGCTCCCGCTTCCCGACCAAGCCTGTATATATATATATATATATATATATATATATATATATATATATATATATATATATATATATATATATATATATATATATATATATATATATATATATATATATATATATATATATATATATATATATATATATATATATATATATATATATATATATAGATACATATAAGTAGAATATAGGACTAAAAAAAGAAATAAATTAGTAGAGAAATAAATAAGAAAACAGCTAACTTTGTGATGGATTGTATTCTATATATTATAAAATGTTTTGTGTTATTATTTTTTGTACTTTAAGTAGTGAAATACTTTATAAAGTATAATATATTGTAAAAAAAAAACAATATTTGGAAATGTCAAAAAATCTGCTTGTCAATGTATATATTATTTCAGTTGATTAAAATTTTAAAACCTACATCAAAGCCTACAGTTTTATAAAATATTTATTGATTTAAAGTGATTTCTAACCTTCCACCTTAAAAACTTCTCTTAATTAAAAACTTATTTTTAATTTATATTATTTCAAAAACATAATAAAAATATACCTGTATATTCAGGAAAGCATAATGTCAATGGAGAATGAGGTATCTTTAATTTAAACAAGTCTTTTTTATTAAGAAACAAAATTACAGAAGTGCTTATAAAATGGTCATTATTTACAATTGAATCAAACAACTTCAAACTTTCAATCATTCGATTCTAAATAAAGAGATAAATTGTAACTATTTTTAATAAACTTTAAACTAGCAAACAAAAGCAGTGAACAAATGAAACCCAAAAGAACTTTTGATTAAATGAAATCCAAAAGAAACTTTCCTTAAATTTTACCCCTAGTTAAGTGGCAGGGTTTATCATTGTTTGCAATAACTCATTGTTTATTTATTTAAATTATTAATATATGCGGTAGTGGTGTAGTGGTAAAACACTCGCTTCATAAGCAAGAGGTTCCGAGTTCAATCCCCACCACGTCCCTGGTAGTACCGCGCTCAACTTGTTTCTCCGCGCAGCGGCCTTGTTTGTCAAGGCTCGTGTTTCGGATATATATATAAAAATATATATATATATATATATATATATATATATATATATATATATAAATATATATATAAATATATATATATATAAATATATATATATATATAAATATATATAAATATATATATATATATATAAATATATATATATATATATATATATATATATATATATATATATATATATATATATATATATATATATATATATATATATATATATACATATATATATATATATATATATATATATATATATATATATATATATATATATATATATACATATATATATATATATATATATATATATATATATATATATATATATATATATATATATATATATATATAAAACTAATTTATATAGAAAATCACTTATCATTTGTTCATTATGTTTCATTTATAAAGACTCGCCAGAAATTCTTCATTTTTATAAATTAAAAAGTTTGATAAGTGATTATTTAATCTGTTTTTTTTTTGTGGAAAACATTAAGCAGTAATTGTTGTTAAACTTTCACAGCAATTGTGAAATAATTTTTTTTAGATAAAAAACAACAGATAAATAATTTTTTTTTCTATTTTTCTTTTTTAAAAATAGTTTTTATTGAAATTTAATTTATTACATTTAAATTAAATTTATTATAAATTAGTAATAATAATAAATTTAAATTTATTTAAATTTATTTATTGAATTTCATTAAATAAGTTTTTTTAAAAATTTAAAACGCTCAGTTTTACAATTTCTTAGTTAAATTTCTAAACAAGTTAGAGAAAATTCTTTTTATCAAATTCAATTTTAGTTACTTTTTTATACTCGTTTTACATTCAACTATTTTGTTTATTTATAGTTTTATTTTTTTATTAATTTATTTTTTTATTATTATTTATAGTTTCAATCAATAATTTTTTTTATCTTGTTACGAAAGTGCTAATAACAAAATTAATGTACTTTTAGCTGCATTTATATGCATCGCCGAAAAAGTAAGTTTTAGTAAACTAATAAAAAAAAAGATTTTTTTTTAGTTTTGAAATTGGTTTTTAACAAAAAAACCTGTAAAAATTCTTTTAACCTGTATACAAACACCTATCACTAATTTACCATCACCCATCACTAATTTCTTGAAATAGCAGAAAAAATTCAGCCACAAAATGACCATAAAGAAATTCATAGAGTCTTAAAATTCAACAACTTCCGAGTGGCAAAATAAGTATTAAAAGTAACTATAGCTACCCATAATGTTTATTGGATGGCATATAATATTTTCAGTTAAAATATGGTTATTTAGAGACTAAATTGATATACAGAAAAAAGACCTTTAATTCAAAAACAGCAAACAATTAAGGCACACTTAATTGTATACAGTTTTTGTTGATGTGAAGCCGTGGTTCACTACACCAATCAGTGTTTTAAGCATTAATCTTAGGAGGTTGCAAAATCAGTAAATATTACCTGCTTCTTTTTATAATAGGACAGCGTTTATAATAGACCAATCTTTATAGATGATGAATTTTTAAAACAAGGTATGAGTTTTAAGTGTTTGTGGTGACTAACTTTTGCTCATTTTTTTCTTGAAATGTTTTCTCATATTGTAAAACACATTTTTTTGTCACAAAAATCATAATTTGAACCACTTTAATAAATAAAAATAAATTCTTTTTTTAAAAAAATCATATAATTTGAACCAATGCCATGAACCCAGAACAATCAAAGATCAACATATTAAAGAAGTGATTTGCAATAGTGTTATTGTAATTAATGACAATTAATTTCTTTAAATATGATGTCATCAAACATGTTTTTTATGGCTTGTTAGTTTTTTTCATAATTATAAAATTATTTACTTTTTAGTTACCTGGATGCATTAGATAGACTTGGAGATTCGCATTACAGACTTCTGTTGTGTCTGTTATACTGAAAGGAATGAACTTGTTTTTTATGATATTGAAGAATACTTTAAGCATTAACAATGGTATTTTATTGGCAATACTTAAATAGATTAAAAATGACTGTAGAAAGTTTTTTGTTTGGAATACTTTGTAGATATGTTTTTCTTTTTTTGCATATAATACTAATGAATTCTCCTAATCCTTTGTCAAAATTAAAAAATGGTTTTTATTTTTGAATTGTTTTTTTTGGCATTGTTTAAAATGTAATTTATAAATGTAAGAACAACAATATATCCACCTTGTTTAACCAATTTGTAGACTCAACATTTATTTTATTACATTTCTATCAATTTAACCATTTTGAAAACTCAACATTTGTTTTTTTACATTTCTATTTAGTCTCTGTAGAAAGATTTAATAAAATTATAAAGTTTATAAAATAGAATTGTAAAGAATAATCTTTCTTGCGTTTCAATCTGAGATTAAATTTTGATCTCATTTTATTATACTTCAACTAGATAAATTAAAATTAAAAAATATTTTGAATAATTAAAATTATAATTTATATAATCTTTAAATATTCTGACATGCATTTATAGGTAAAAAACAACAACAACAAAAAAAACAAAAAACAACAAAAAAAAAAACAACAACATTATAAAGAACAGCTAAAAATCTAATAGTCATTGATACTATTTACATGAACTTAACATAAAACAATAAATAAGAAAACAAAATTTCAACAGAAACAAAAAAAGTTGTTTTAAAATTATTGCCATAAAACAAAATCTATATTTTTAAGGTGCACTAGGTAAACTAGGTTTGATTATATATATATGGGTATTAAAAAAATTGCCAGCATTTTAAGTTAGAAAAAACCTTTAGGAGTTTTTCATTAACTTTCTAATTTTTGTCTAAAAACACCAAATTTTAATTTTTATAGAAATAATTGTTAAAGCTTTTGCTTATGTCAATTGTGATGAATGTTATATTAGAACAAATCTGTTTCTACTGCGGGTCAACTATGAATGAATAGTGAGACAATAGTAAAATCGAATGCTAATTTATCAATGGCAAAATATTACAAATATTTTAATTACCGTTACATCATCTTCTGCAAGACGCAAATCATAACAGCTTAATGCAGCACAAAATATAATAGCAGTGACATCTTGAAAACAATGAATCCATTTTCTACGCTCAGTTCTCTGTCCTCCAACATCAAGGAGTCTGAAAAAATAGTAATAAACCAACTAAAAAAAATTCTAAATAAACATATGGCCTATATATGATTCACATTATTATATACAAGAAAAGGAGTGAATATTTATACAATAGATCAATTGATTGACAAATTTCACTTAATGCTGTACAAATTCCAAAAGAAATAATAAGATATTGGAGAAATAACCAGATGATAAAGAAATAAAATTTTGAACATAGACAAAAAGTTATCCTACTTAAAATTTAATTTCCGAAAGGAAAACTGAGTCTCTACAATACCAGCAGTTCTAACACGAGTTCGTAAAATATCTTGCTCAGTGGGCTTGTAATGCGGATCTCCAAGTCTATCTAATGCATCCAGGTAACTAAAAAGTAAATAATTTTACAATTATAAAAAAAACTAACGAGCCATAAAAAACATGTTTGATGACATCATATTTAAGGAAAAAAGTTATCAAAAATTAACACTGGTACCCATATTTTTTAGTATTTAACTATGCATAAATTCTATTTCATTAAAAAAACAAAAAACAACATCAAATTATTTGTACAAAAATCACTAACATAGCTTTAACCTAGTATAGATGAACTTGAAAAAGTTCAAATTTGAGAACCTTACTTGTTAACCATAAACAATCTTTTAAACATAAAAAGAAAGTATTTAAGAGACTATGTTGCTAAAATATATTTGGGATTAAAGTATTATTTAATTTATTATAGATTTGTCTATTGTAGAAAAACTAGACCTATAATAAGGCTTGTTTTAGATTTATCTTACTTGTTTTTATATTTACATATATATAACATATATATAACATATATATAACATATATATATATATATATATATATATATATATATATATATATATATATATATATATATATATATATAACATATATATATATATATATATATATATATATATATATATATATATATATATATATATATATATATATATATATATATATATATATATATATATATATATATAAGTGATGTATTGATATCACTTTTATTAATCTTACTTGATTATATATATATTTACATATATATAACATATATATATATCTTATACTGCTGAGTTAGGTGAGCATGATGATGTCATACTCACCTAATGTCAAATAGCCTGCTGCCAGGGGCTTCAGTACATACATCGACTGACAAATAGCCTGACTCGCCGTGAAGTGTTGCTACATCGATATATATATATATATAAATAAGTGATGTACCGATATCACTTTTTTGGCCGATGCCAAATTGATAGGAAAAGGCCGATATTGATGAATTAACTAATTATTAAACAGAGTTGGACCCGATCTATCTGCTAAGCTTCAGCCTCTTTCCCATCGTCGTAAAGTTGTATCTCTTTCTCTTTTCTACAAATACTACCATGGCTGCTGCTCAAAGGAGCTTTCATCTTTAGTTCCATCAACCAAAACTTATTCTCACTTGATTCATCATTCATCAAAGTCTCATTCTTTTACTGTATCTGTCTCTTCATGCTCCAAGAACTTTTATTTTTTACTTTGAAAATTAATAAAAACAGCCGATGCCATACCGATTCCAATTGTATATATATATATATATATATATATATATATATATATATATATATATATATATATATATATATATATATATATATATATATATATATATATATATATATATATATATATATATGAAGTTTTACTTTATATATATATATATATATATATATATATATATATATATATATATATATATATATATATATATATATATATATATATATATATATATATATATATATATATATATATATAAAGTAAAACTTCATTTTCGATTTCATTATTATTTCATATTTATTTCATTTCATGTTGTTGGATCACATTCTATTTATAAATGACTATTATATTTAAAAATAAAAAAACATCAAATAAAATTCATCAAATAAAATATTTGAATATCAAATACTTTTATGTCAAATATAATTTAACTAACTAAATATTTTTACTGATATCTTCAAATTACTCAAGTTTATATATAAGTCTATTTATTAAAAAAGTTAAAGCTAAACAAAAATAAATATTAGAACTATAAAAGAAAAATTAAAAATGCTAAGTCTCCTACCCTCCATAAATCAGACATTTTCATAAAATGTTGACATATGGAGAGCTTTACTTAATTTGTTAAGTATGACAAAAAATAAATCTCTTCAGAACCCAAGTAAAGGGGATTCTACTGTTTATTATTATTTGTTATATGTATCGTTTATTGAAACTTTGGGAAACGTGCTCACAAACAACAAAAGAAAAAAAGTAACATGACCTAGTTTTTACTGGTGTAACAAATGCATTTCTATAAATATATGTCAGTATATAAATTATTAATATATTATCTTTGCATAAGTGTGTATATATATATATATATATATATATATATATATATATATATATATATATATATATATATACACTTATGCAAATATAATATATTAATAATTTATATACTAACATATATTTATAGAAATGCATTTGTTACACCAGTAAAAACTAGGTCATGAAGGCATAAAACTAGTGATGTTACTTTTTTTCTTTTGTTGTTTGTGAGCACGCTTCCCAAAGTTTCAATAAACGATACATATAACAAATAATAATAAACAGTAGAATCCCCTTTACTTGGGTTCTGAAGAGATTTATTTTTTGTCATACTGTTTGTCCGACTGTTAAATTAAGCCCTGCAAATACTTTAAAACCCTTTGCACTTAATGAGTTGTAATTATTTGCTTTTAATGTGTTGTAAAGTATTGCTTTGTAATTAACTTTAATTTTAAACCTTGCTAAAAATTATTAATTGAATTTAAATTCCATATTTGAAAAAATTATATTACCTTAAAATTTATTTCTTTAAACAATTTTATACTTAAATTTTATGTTTGTTTATCACAATTTATTTATTTTAATTTTAACGTATTTAATGTAGTATTTTTAATAATGATTATAAACAATTTATAGATAGATTTCATCAGTTACCAATAAGATATTTGTAAACATAATTTATGTTTTTAAATGTATTAGGTCAAAGGAACTTTAAATGGAACTTTACACTTTATTGAATTAATAAGAAACAAAAAATACATTGGTGAAAAGATTCTCTTAAACAAAAGCACTTTTAAAAAAGGAGTTTTTAATATCCTTTTGCTTATAATAACCTGATTATATATGACGGAGAGACTTATATATTACTTAATGAATTAGTAGATGATTAAAAAACTTCTTTAATAAAAATTGCAAAATTATTTTACTTGGGTCCAGATGAGAAAAAAGTGCTCTCTAACTTATCGAAAATGGGTCACTCCGTTTAATTATATGGCTAGAGCTAATGGACGCAGCTGAACTGTGATTAAAAACTACGTTAATAGTCCTCATTTGTATGGAGTAAAAAAAGTCCCGGATGTCCATCAACATTAAGTGACCGTGATAGGCGAAGGTTGTTGAGACAAGCTTCAAATTCTTCATTAATTGCACGTCAAATTGCCGCAGAAGAAGGTGTAATTGCTAATTTATGTACAATTCAGCGAGTTATTCATAATGCTTTTAACCTTTTGTGCAAAAAACTTCAGCAAAAACCACTTTTGACAACAAATCACATAAATAATCAAACAACTTTTGCATAGGACCACGTAGCAAGGAAAGAAGAGTGCAACAAGTAGTATTTTTTGAAGAAAAATGATTTTGTCTTGATGGGCCGAATAGATGGAATTATCATTTTCACAATTTGCGCAAAGAACCAGTAACACAGCAACAATGTCAAATGGGTGGTGGTGGTGTAATAATTTGGTGTGCGATTGGGTATCATGGTAAATCGAAAATTTATTTTATTGACAGAAAAATAAAGGCCAAGGACTATCTTTTAATTGTTCAAGAACTTTTAAGATGTGAAGCATCCGAAATAGGTGGTGAAAATTTTGTTTTTCAGCAAGATAATGCTAGTGTTCATACAGCTAAAATAATAAAGGAATATTTCAACAGCAGTAAAATTGAAACATTGAAGTGCCAGCTAGATCTCCAGACCTAAACATTATTTAGAATGCTTAGACACAGCTGTCACATTTAGTGTTTGAAGGTGGTAAACAATATAGTTCACTAGCTGACTTGAAATCATCCATCGCATCTGCATGAGATGCAATTGACATTTTGTACATAAAAAAGTTGTATGATTCTTTACCTTCTAGAATGATTGAAGTAATTCAAAAAAAAAAGGTAAAAGTACCCACTATTGATTGTTTGAAATTTAGACGTCTTTTTATATAAATGACTATTTATATGAGTTTTTTCCAAAAGTGTCTTATACTTTTGTCGCACTAAAAAAACAGTTTTTTTTTTTTAATATAGTGCAAGCTGGGTTTAAGTGGATTTTTTGAAATGTTGTTTAGTCTTGTGATCCTTTTGCTCTCATTTACTATAAATATATATATAAATATATATATATATATATAAATATATATATATATATATATATATATATATATATATATATATATATATATATATATATATATAAATATATGAATGTCAGATCAGGTTTATCCTGCTACTGGTAACATGTAACCCAGTACAATCTGCTTCATGTCCTGCTGCCTTGTAGGACATGCCTTTTTAGGCAAAGGCAAGGAGATGCAAACTCCGACATAAAACACCCCCTGCCTTGGGGCTCTTGGTTAAGTAAAGGCTAGAGATGGTGTCTCGATAAAAATACTCATCTTGGGCAGATGTTAAATGCATCCACCTGCTGTCTTGTAGAAGGCCTCCTAGGCAAAAACTTAAGGGGTAAACAGATTCTATCTGTTGACCAGCCTCGCACCCCTTCTCCATCTATTAGGCTGGCGCAGATGTATTTTTAATACATTGTTTCCAGTTTAGGATGTTGAACGCTGGATCTTCTTGACTCGATTTCATGGGTTTTGCTCGTGACTCTGTTTTTATGACTAGGCAACTCATTCTATTATCTCCAAATGAGGGTACAGCTCTAAAACTCAGTTTTATGGTTCTGAGGCCGGCTGGTAGTCAGGTTTCCCGAACTCTGTGGTAGCTCTCAGAGAGGCTGAATCCATCAACAGCTGAGAAATATCAGAGTACTAACAGTGCCGTGTTGCGCATGGATGGTGTACCTGTTTGTACTTTCGGTGTGCATTGCCAAGGCCACATTGGAGCTCTTTGTTACGGCTTAAGGTTTATTAGTGGAAATGAGGCAATTGCTTGAGCTATAAGACAGTGTACTGAGTACTACCTATGTTTCGAGTCAAGTTCTTTAAAAAATTTAAAAATGAATAAAGTAACAAAAACTAAAAAACAAAAAACCACAGTAATCACCAAGT